TTGCAGATGACATTGTTATGATCAATTAAATCGGAGTTTACCACCAAATTGAGATAATTAGTTGGTATTTGGTAATTCAAATGGACCAATCAAATCAATCGAAAAAGTCCACTTACGCTCAACTATATCCCTTTATACAACTTTTAAAAAAATAGATATTCAACATTATTGTCATTTCTAGGATTGAATAGACATTTTTTTTATCAGTATTAGTATTGATTTAGACTTTATATGGCTTATTTATAAATATAACTATAAAATATATTGGATCATTCAAAATTCTAATATGTTTTAAAAAAACAAAAACTATGTAAAAACTTAAGAAATTATGTTACAATAAATATAATTGTATACATATTAATCGGGTTGATTTGGTTGGATGCGACTCTTTTTAGTTAAAGTCAAACTAAATCAATAATGATCAAATTTTTTTTTCTATATCAAATAAAGTTAAATTAAATCGCTAATTAATTTTTTTTCTCGATTTAACTTGAATTATCTATTTGACGTGATTTATAATTTTTTTAATATACCCATAACACAAACCTACAACAAACTTGAACTATCTATTTGATGTGATTTGTTAATTTTTTTTATACACCCATAACACAAACCTACAACAAACTAGAAATCAAGACAACCATCTTTGGACGTTTCCTATAAGGACCATAATACAGGTAGGGGTGAGCGTGGACTATATAGTACAATACTGAAATTCGGTAATTATTTTTTTTAAAAATAAAATATTATACTCCCTTTATATTTGTTATTTTTGGATTTGACACACTCATTAAATAAAAAAGAAGATTGACATGTTTATTTTATCACACTATTCTAATATTCTTATTAATTAATGTTTAGTGTTAGATTTTAGAAAATGATTTGGAGAATAAGTAGTTAATGTTAAGGATCAAAATGGAAAAAATAATTGTCTTTTTAAAGTACAATTTCTATATTTTATGGTATTGTAAATCGGTAGCCACAATTTTATACGACTTCAACTTACATATACTCATACAGTAGAGAATTATAACTTTGACTTTTAAGAAACATCTCAATAATATCATACTAACACTTTATACATATGGAATTATTCAAAAGAAAGTACAAGTTAAGCAATCCCTTTGTTAATCAATTACACACAAAAAAAGATATTTCAATCTAAATAGAGTAGTCAAAGTTTCAACGTCTAAACAATTATTTTTGTACTAATAGTACTTTTTATATATTTGTTAGTATTTTATAATAATATATATGAATTGTATTTGTAACTATATACTTTGATAAGATATAATATTTTTTATAATTATAACTTATAAATAATTAACTAATACTAAAAACATATCAAATGCCATATTAAATATCATAATATCAAAATCAAAATATCAAAAATTTTAATTCCAATATCTACCATATCATACCCCAACCTGACGGCCATGTAAATATTATTGGCATTTAACTTTTAGTACGTGAAAGTTGGATTAGTATTGACATTACTGGTAAGTTCAAAATTCAAGCCATGTTTCTTAAAGAACAAAGAGATGTCAAAACGCTAATCTTCCCGTGCTCTTATGAGATGAATGATTTAAAGTCGATGAGTTTAGAATTATTCCAATCTTCGAAAGATTTTATGTTAAGATTCAATGACACCTCAACCTTCTATCATCATAGAAAACGTCATGACTTAAAGTTACGAGTTCAGAATGAATGTGATACATACATTTTAAATAAATAAATCAAATGTATATAACACTCGAGTGAATGGTGAGCAATTGCTCGTATAAATATGAATAGTTGATTATGTTATTGATACAATAAAACATGGAAATAGTCTCAATTACAAAAACAATTTCCCTAATTCTCCAGATTTTGATAATCCTAAATGCCTCACCTTATCTTGTTCAATGCGCATTTTCACGTCTCCAACTTCCATTACGAACCTTTGGCCCTGACTCTGCTGCTTTCGACACAAAAGGCGACGGACCTTACACTGGTGTTGGAGATGGCAGAGTATTCAAATATCAAGGTCCAAATACTGGCTTCACTGAATTTGCTATTACATCACCAAATAGGTAACTAAATTCCAATTCTAAGCTTGACCTTTTTCTTATTCACTATTAAGAACAAAATAAGAATTAGCGACTGACAAACTTCAAACTTCATGGACTAGCAACGAAGTTTGTAGCTTGTCCTTCTTTTCTCAAAGACTGATATTTTGTCATATATTATGTATATATGTTTAGGACCAAGCAAATATGTAATGGCACAAATGACCCAATATCACAACTTTCTTGTGGAAGACCGTATGGCGTTGGATTTTACAACAAAACTGGTGACCTATACATAACTGATGCATATTATGGACTCTTGGTGGTTACACCAAGCGGAGGGCTTGCTACACCACTTGTTACTAGCTTTGAGGGTAGGCCTTTTGCCTTTCTCGACTCACTAGACATCGATCAGGAAGAGGGGATCATTTATTTTGTAGATGCAGGAGCCATATTCCGAACTAGGTTCATTCCTCTAAGGCCTAGATTTCATTTATTTATCAATATTGCATTTAATTTCAACTATCTGTTTTTAAAAAATTAAAATTGAATGGTTTTGTAAGCAACAACAGGTTTTTAATTGCTCTAAGCGGAGATGCAACAGGGAGATTGTTCAAGTATGATATAGCAACAAAACAAGTCACATTATTACTAGATAAACTTTCAGGGCCAGCAGGGGTTGCACTCAGCAATGACAAATCATATTTATTAGTGTCGGAAGCTATTGGTAAAAGAATAACGAGGTTTTGGCTTGAAGGTGCAAAAGCAAATTCTTCAGATGTTTTCACAAACATTGATGGAAATCCAGATAATATTAAGAGGACTGTGTCAGGAGATTTTTGGGTGGCTGTTGTCAGCGTGAAAATAAAGTTGTTGATCATTCCCACCTTGAATTCAACAGGACAAAGGATAAATCAGTTGGGAGAAGTCGTGGAAACGCGTGATTTCACAGGTCAATATACTAGTGCAAATGGGATAACTGAAGTTCAAGAATATAATGACAAACTTTATATTGGGTCTTTAGACCAGAACTTTATTGGTGTTGATGGAGTTTGATGTATGTCTTCTGTTTTCACAAGAATAAGCTTTTATGATTCAGGCATTATGTAGTTTTACATGAATAAGCATTTTCTACACTAAATAAAAATGCTGAGGACCTTCTTATTGTTGGTAGTGGAAAAGGTGTAATAAAAAATAGAATAGCACTTAAATTGAAGTCCAAACTTTACTTAGGCTAGTCCATTAAATGGTGTTCCAAGATATGAGCCCATTTTACTAGCCCAAGGTCCAAATACCCATCTTAATGTCTATTCTCATAACGTCATGTCATATGAATGAGTCAATAAGATCACACCACGTGGCAAGAGATATGGCATGCCAAGTCAAATCACAGAATGAAGAAAATCATGTCAAGTGTACATGTGACATGTTCTGGCTAATTAAATCAGAGCTTATCACCATATCAATATAATGGGTTGGTATTTGGTAATTCAAATGGACTAATCAAAAGAGTTCACCTACGCACAACTATATCATTTTATACAACTATAAATAAGGATTTTCATAATATTAGAAGAGACACGAAAAGGCACATCTACAAACTACAAGAGAGAGCTCTTAAAATTTAATATTAGAAGCACTCGGGAACTGAAACCGAAAGTCAAGAACAAACAAATCTAAAATTGTTCAGTTCTTCTCTCGAGTCATATTATACACAAATTTATTGTAGGCAAATGCCTTCAGAATTGATGAAACAACTATATATTTTTTAATTTTTTTTTAACTTTAGAATAATTTGAAATAATAATTCATCTTCTTTATTATATTATTCCACGTGTCACTGTCACTATATGATCACCTAACTAGAGTTACCTATTTTTGGCACGTTTCACTTATTAGAAAATGTAGCTGACGGCTTCAGTTCATTTAGAGCTCAACAAAAGCAGAATTTAGAAGTTATAGTAATTATATATGTTAACTGTAATTCTGTTTTCCTCATGTATAAAACTACAACAAACATACAACAATTTCCTTTTCTTTGTGTAGTATAATTAAGGACCATATATATACACATTAGGTAGCAGTATGAGGTAAATATTACTCTCATTTCATTTTTAAGATGTGAAAGTTTGATTAATATGAGATAGTGTAAAGAATTGTTTGTACTAATCAAGTCATCCAAAGAATATCTACAAGACAAGTTACCTGTTATAACAAGTAAAGATAATCTAATGATGTAGAAACCTTTTAAACTGATGATATATATAACTTAAACTTGATTAAGATTTGATTGTTCTTATTGTAAGTTGTCAATTGGAAATTTCTTCTAAGAGCACGCCGGCTGAATATCCCCCTATCTCCTCTCATGTCCACACTAATTGTTGGATCTGTCGTAGATCAAACAAATTACATATATGAATTCTGAGTTAAAAAAGTGGATTTTAAAAATGTATATCGATCTAACTCTATCTATACTTGTTTTTCATGTATATATAAGGTTCTACCCCAAAAAGCACTTGATTCTGTCGAACCTGCAAACTCATTATAAGGTTCACCATTGTTGTGTTAGTTAAATTGTCCCAGCTAAAACTCAAACTAGTTTTTAAGATTGAGTTATGCTGAATATCAATATTTTAATTTTTTTTTTAATAAGGTATTAGAAGAATCATTCTTATTTCTTGATATTCCTAATATTGAGCCCTCATCTTATGCTATCCACGCTCTAATTAATCAAACCTGCACGGGTGAGAGGAGATTAAGGCGTGTTACGGTGTTAGATTGTCCCGCATTGTTTCATCTCATGTCTATTTTCTTAACATTAACATGCTAGGGGTGGGTGGCAATTGGTAGTATAAGTATCAACAGATAATTATTTTGTTGAGTACACTAGAAACATGGAAACAATCTCAATTACAAAAACAATATTCCTTCTCCAGATTTGGATATTGCTAAATGGTTCCTCCAGTTTTGCTCACTGTCAATTTCCAGCATTTAGGAAGCTCCAACTTCCATCACGAGTCGTTGGCCCTGAATCTGTTGCTTTCGATAAAAAAAAAAAAAGGCGATGTGCCTTACACTGCTGTGGCAGATGGCAGAATAGTCAAATATGAAGGTCTAATAATTGGGTTCACTGATTTTGCAATAAACATCACCAAATAGGTAACTAAATTCAGTTTCTAAGCTTGACTTTTTTTTTTTTTGGAAAACTCGGTGAGCACTTTGTGCGCATTGGGGAAACCCCACTATGTAATAGTTTGCAAACCATATAGGGGATGTAAATTACATTAGGCAAGCCATATGCGACATACTTGACTCAAAAGGCATTGAGGGGGATCAATCCTAGTGCTCACCAGGGAAACCCCACTATGTAATAGTTTGCAAACACATAGGGGATGTAAATTACATTAGGCAAGCCCTATGCGACATGCTCGACTCAAAAGGCATTGAGGGGGATCAATCCCGGGTCATTCATGTGGATGACCACCCTCCAAACCAATTGAGCCATCCCGAAGGACTAACTTTTATTTTTTTCTTGTCCTAATTATTTTATCCACTTTTAGGACCAAGAAAAGATGTGATGGCACAAACGACCTAAAATCATAACGAATATGTGGGAACCCGTTGGGGCTTGAGTTTTACAGAAAAACTGGTGACCTCTACACAGTTGATGCATATTATGGAATTTTGGTGGTTGGACCAACTGGAGGACTTGCTACACAACTTGTTACTAGCTTTGAGGGTACTCGTTTTGGCTTTCTCGATGCACTAAACATTGACCAAAAAACCGGAGTCATTTATTTTGTAGATGCAGGAGCAATATTCCGGATTGGGTTTGTCCCTCTAAAACTTATTTTGCAAAAACTACACCTAATATGCAAAATGAGGTGAACTAACTGAATTTAAAACTACTTGGCAGCGACAGGACAACAATAGTTGAAAGCAGAGATACATCAGGGAGATTGTTCAAGTATGATATAAGAACAAACCAAGTCACATTATTGCTAACTGGACTTTCAGGGCCAGTAGGGTTGTCACTCAGCAAGGATAGTTCATATGTCTTGATCATAGAATATATTGCTCAAAGAATTCGGAGGTTTTGGCTCAAAGGTCCAAAAGAAAATTCATCCGATGTTTTCAGAAAGTTTGAAGGAATTCCAGATAACATAAGGAGGACTGTGTTGGGGGACTTTTGGGAGGCTATTGCCAACACGAAACAAAATATCACATATTCGATAGGACAAAGGATCAATCAGTTGGGAAAGGTTGTGGAAACCCGTCATTCACAGCTCAATGTAATGATACTCCTCTTGGGATTACTTTAGTTGAAGAATATAAAGGCAAGCTTTATGTTGGATCTTTAGACCAAAACTTCATTGGTGTTTACAGAGCTTATGTTGGGTCTATAGACCGGAACTTTGCCGGAGTTTACACAGTTTGATGTTTTCCGCTTTTCAATAATAAGCTTTATGATATATAGAGCATTTAGGGTACTACCTACACCAAATAAAAATGCTGCAGATACAACTTATCATCTGTACTATGTGCACAGTGATCTTGAACTTACAAAAGTAATTTCTTACTAATAAAATTTTACATTTTCCATGTAATATCAATTCCCAGTTGGTTAATGTTTACAAAATTTTAGTTTTTCTTTTCACCCTGAGTACTTTTGACATTTCTACTCACCTATTGGAATAGGAATCACACTTGTTGGCAGGTCTAGTTTGAATCATAATGATGAAAAAACTACAGTTTCTTGAAACCAATGAAAATATTATACACAATTATCGGAGGCATCTGCTGGACTATTGATAAAACAACTACAGTTTTTTTTAGAAAAAATTTAAAATGTTTTGGTGCCATGAATGATTTGAAATATCATAACAATTCATCTCATCTAGTTTAGTTATTGAAATGGTTCAGCAGGTAAATAGGATTAGTTACTTAACTTGGGAAAGTCTCTGTAGCTGAAGCTAGCTAATTATATGGCTAGGTGACCACAGAGGTTTGACATTGAAATTTTCTTTCAATAGCCGCCCACCCCCACCCCACCCCACGTCCCCCATTGTCAACTTGAAAAGAGAGGGAAGCTAGTAGATAAGAGGCTCTTGATCGGTGGCAGATTAAGAGTTTTGATGTTGTGATTTCTTCTTTAAAATCCCGAATTTGGAAATGTACATAACCCTATCTGTACTTGTTTATTTTACATATATAGGTTTTCACTCCATAACACTTTATATGTCGAATCAGCAAACTCATTGTAAGATTTGTCATTGTTGTGATTGATTGTCTCATATTGGTTGAGGAAAGGAGCTGTCTCCTTATATGATCTTGGACCAACATCGAGCTAACCCACGATCTTTTCTTTTAATATGATATTAGAGAGGTAGACTTATCCCTAATTCTTGGTTTATTCAATGCTGAGCCAACATCTAATCAAATCTGGCGGGGGAGGGAGGGGGGAGGGTGTTTGGGTCAACTATTGAGATTAAGTTAGACCCAATCTATTTTCTTTAACATGCTACGGGCGGTGGGCAATTACTAGTATAAGTATCAACAGCATATCGTTTTACTGAGTACACCAGAAAGATGGAAACAGTCTCAATTAGAAAAACAGTATTGTTGGTCCAGATTTGGATCATGCTAAATGTTTCTCCCAGCATGGCTGGGTGTCGATTTCCTGCATTTAGCAAGCTCCAACTTCCATTACGAACCATAGGCCCTGAGGCTGCTGCTTTCGATAGAAAAGGTGGCGGACCTTACACAGGGATTGCAGATGGCAGAATAGTCAAATATCAAGGTCCAAAAGTTGGCTTCACTGATTTTGCTGTTACATCACCAAATAGGTAAAATTTTCACATTAAAGAAGAGTAAACTCCCCCTTCATCTATTTGCATACTCAAAGTTTGATATTCTTTTGTTTTCCCTATACTGTTCCTCTTCAGGACCAAGGCAAAATGTGATGGAAAAAATGGCCCAGAATTACAACAAATATGTGGAAGACCATTTGGCCTTGGATTTTACTACAAAACTGGTAATCTCTACATAACTGATGCGATTTATGGACTAGTGGTGGTTGGACCAAGTGGAGGGCTTGTTACACGTGTTCCTAGCTTTCAGGGCAGGAATTTTGCTTTTCTCGATGCACTAGATATCGACCAAAGTAAAGGAGTAGTTTATTTTGTAGATTCAGGAGCTATATTCCTGACTGGGTTAGTTGCTCAAAAACTTATATTATGTCCAACTTAATTTTTCTAATATTACATTGAATATTCTTAAGAAAGAGGGGTAACTAACTCAAGCAAAATAACTTGAACACTTTTGGCAGCAACAGGACTAGAATAGTTGAAAGCAAAGATACATCAGGGAGATTGTTCAAGTATGATATAGCAACAAAACAGGTCACATTATTGCTAAGTGGACTGTCAGGGCCAGTAGGGGTGGCACTCAGCAAAGATAATTCATATGTCTTGATCACAGAATATATTACTCAAAGAATTCAGAGGTTTTGGCTCAAAGGCGCAAAAGCAAATTCATCAGATGTTTTCGCAAATGTTGATGGAATTCCAGATAACATTAAAAGGACTGTGTTGGGGGACTTTTGGGTGGCTATTTTCAACACCAAACAACCTACTACATTTTCACTAGGACAAAGGATCAATCGATTTGGAAAGGTCGTGGAAACATGTAATTTCACAGATCAGTATAATAGTCCTAATGGGATAACTGAAGTTCAAGAATATAAAGGAAAGCTTTATGTTGGGTCTTTAGACCAGAACTTCATTGGTGTTTCTAGAGTTTAATGTCTTCTATCTTTCAAGAATAAGCTTTCTGATATAAAGCATTTACTATTTACGCTAAATAAAAAGGCCGTAGACCTTACTTACAGCATAACAATTGTATTACCTGGAGTCCTGGACACTAATCTTGAACTTACAAATGAAATTGTGGACTATTCAAACTAAGTATTTACATGTAATGTCAATTCCCAGTTAGTTGATTTACACAGAATTTTAATTTATCAATTACCCAGAGCACTTTGGATATTTTTAGCCGCCTATTGGGATACAAACCACACTTGGTACAGGGATCTGTGACTTGTTTTACCATTACAATTGGACTACTGGTAGGACTATGAATCAAACATCATCAATCTCATCCAGAGTTGTTTTGGATGGTTAGTGGTTTTTGAAGTAACAACTTTGCTTGTACTATTATTTTACGTAACTCCGTAAATTTCCACCCTCTCCAGAACCTATGAACTTAGCTTTCCCTATCGTCACTCCCTCTTTTTAATAGAGCAAAGAAAAGGAAAAAGAACAGGTGGAAGCTTGAAATGGTTTATAGTCAAACAGGTCCTTCGGAATAATAGTTATTCCTCTCTTTTTGTTGTAATTGCAATTTTCTAAGGTTTATTTTCATTTATTTTCCTTTTTTTTTGAACCAGTACTCTTTACATATGTTATATGCTTCCTCTTTAAGAAAGAAAAATGCAAGGGCAATAATGGTCTTAATACACAAACCAACATGTGGAGGACCCTGAGCCTTCAGTTTTACTACCTAATTAGTGACCTATACATGGATGATATCAGTCATGGCCTCATGGTTGTTCTTGATAGATGAACCTGATGATAGACAGTGCCTTTTGCCTATCGTAACTTACTAGACTTCAATAATGATGCCAGAGTTATTTACTTAATAATTTCAGGAGCCATTACGTGCTCCAGGTTCGACAATCTCATATTCCATCTTCATCTTTCTAATGATTATCAAAGTAAAAGGACTAACTTAATATGCTTAGCAGTAGAATAACTGCGCAACAGAAAACTGCTTGCTGAAATAGGGCCTGAATCATTTTACAGGCAACTCAGAAATACAGGCAAAGGCACAGGGAGCAATTGATACTGCCGAAGATCAAATGCGTATGAACAAGCAATGTTGGCTACATCACTGTAGTTGTTTATATGATCTTGGTGGTTAATAATCAATGAAAACATATGGAATATTAGCATCTGTTCAGACACTCATAAAATTAAGAGGTTTTAACTATTTATTTTTCCACACTAATCATTAATCATGTCCTAGTAAACTGCTTACTGTTATCTCTCACATTTTAGGCATTTCAAAACGAAGAAATATATCACATCAAAAACTTCTTACATGACTAGGAATCTACAGGAGCACTTCTTTAAAGCACTAGAGAATTAAGCCACCGATTAGTCGCGAAGAGTCTTTATATCATCCACAAGTTCTTGAAGTTCCAATGAGGGTACCGGACACCGGGTGGAAAACCAAAAGAGAAGGCGTCTTAGATTGTCCCACATTGTTTCACCTCATGTCTATATTCTTAACATTAACATGCTAGGTAGGGGTGGTTGGCAACTGGTAGTATAAGTATCAAGAGATAATTATTTAATTGAGTACACTAGAAACATGGAAACAATCTCAATTACAAAAACTATATTCCTTCTCCAGATTTGGATATTGCTAAATGTTTCCTCCAGTTTTGCTCAGTCAATTTCCAGCATTTAGGAAGCTCCAACTTCCATCACGAATCGTTGGCCCTGAATCTGTTGCGTTCGATAAAAAAGGCGATGGACCTTACACTGGTGTTGCAGATGGCAAAATAGTCAAATATGAAGGTCCAAAAATTGGATTCACTGATTTTGCTATAACATCACCAAATAGGTAACTAAATTCAATTTCTAAGCTTGACTTTTTTTTTTTTTTTTTGGAAAACTCGGTGAGCACTTTGTGCACACTGGGAAAACCCCCATTGTGTAATAGCCTGCAAACCACATAGGAGATATAAACCGCATTAGGCAAGCCCTATGCAACAGACTCACAAGGCATTGAGGGGGGATCGATTCCGGGTCATCCAAACCAACTGAGTCATCCTAAAGGATTAACTTTTATTTTTTTCTTGTCCTTATTTTATGCACTTTTAGGACCAAGATAAGATGTGATGGCACAAATGACCTAAAATCACAACGAATATGTGGGAACCTGTTGGGGCTTGAGTTTTACAGAAAAACTGGTGACCTCTACACAGTTGATGCATATTATGGCCTTTTGGTGGTTGGACCAACTGGAGGACTTGCTACACAACTTGTTACTAGCTTTGAGGGTACTCGTTTTGGCTTTCTCGATGCACTAAACATCGACCAAAAAACCGGAGTCATTTATTTTGTAGATGCAGGAGCAATATTCCGGATTGGGTTTGTCTCTCTAAAACTTATTTTGCAAAAACTACATTTAATATGCAAAAAGAGGTAAACTAACTGAATTTGAAACTACTTGGCAGCAGCAGGACTAAAATAGTTGAAAGGGAGATTGTTCAAGTATGATATAAGAACAAAACAAGTCACTTTATTGCTAAGTGGACTTTCAGGGCCAGTAGGGTTGTCACTCTGCAAGGATAGTTCATATGTCTTGATCACAGAATATATTGCTCAAAGAATTCGGAGGTTTTGGCTCAAAGGTTCAAAAGCAAATTCATTCGATGGTTTCAGAAAGGTTGAAGGAATTCCAGATAACATAAGAAGGACTGTGTTGGGGGACATTTGGGTGGCTATTGCCAACACGAAACAAAATGTCACATATTCGATAAGACAAGGGATCAATCAGTTGGGAAAGGTTGTGGAAATGCGTAACTTCACAGCTCAATATAATGATACTCCTCTTGGGATTACTTTAGTTAAAGAATATAAAGGCAAGCTTTATGTTGGGTCTTTAGACCAGAACTTCATTGGTGTTTACAGAGCTTATGTTGGGTCTTTAGACCGGAACTTTGCCGGAGTTTACACAGTTTGATGTCTTCCGCTTTTCAATAATAAGCTTTATGATATATAGAGCATTTAGGGTACTACCTACAACAAATAAAAATGCTGCAGATAACACTTATATCTGTACTATATCTGCATAGTGATCTTGAACCTACAAAAGTAATTTCTTACTAATAAAATTATGCATTTTCCATGTAATATCAATTCCCAGTTGGTTAATGTATACAAAATTTTAGTTTTTCTTTTCACCCTTAGTACTTTTGACATTTCTACTCACCTATTGGAATAGGAATCACACTAGGTGGCAGGTCTAGTTTGTATGATATTGATGAAAAAACTACAGTTGCTTGAACCCAAAGAAAATATTATACACAATTGTCGGAGGCATCTGCTGGTCTATTGATGAAACAACTACAGTTTTTTTAGAAAAAGCTTTAAAATGTTTTGGTGCCATGAATGATTTGAAATACTATAACAATTCATCTCATCTAGTTTAGATATTAAAATGGTTCAGCAGGGAAATAGGATTAATGACTTAATTTGGGAAAGTTTCATCACTTACTAGACTGTGTAGCTGAAGCTAACTAATTATATGGCTAGGTGACCACAGAGGTTTGGCATTGAAATTTTCTTTCGATAGCCCCCCCCCCCCCCCCTCATTGTCAACTCGAAAAGAGAGGGAAGCTAGTAAATAAGAGGCTTTTGATCAGTGCCAGATTAAAAAATTTGATGTTGTGAATTCTTGGTTAAAAATTAAAATCCCAAATTTTGAAATGTATATGTAACTCTCTCTATACTTGTTATTACAAATATATAGGTTTTCACTTCATAACACTTTTATATATGTCGAATCAGCAAACTCATTGTAAGATTTGTCATTGTTGTGATAGATTGTCTCATATTGGTTGAGGAAAGGAGTTGTCTCCTTATATGATCTTGAACAAACATCGAGCTAAATTTTGATATGGTTGAGTTAGACCCACGGTCTAATTTTTTATATGATATCAGAGAGGTAAACTTATCCCTAATTCTTGGTTTATTCAATGTTGAGCCATCATCTAATCAAATCTGGCAGGGAGGGAGGGAGGGGGAAAGGGTGTTTGGGTCAACTATTGAGATTAAATTAGACCCAATCTATTTCCTTTAACATGCTAGGGGCGGTGGGCAATTGCTAGTATAAGTATCAACAGCATATCGTTTTACTGAGTACACCAGAAAGATGGAAACGGTCTCAATTAGAAAAACAGTATTGTTCGTCCAGATTTGTATCATGCTAAATGTTTCTCCCAGCATTGCTTGGTGTCGATTCCCTGCATTTAGCAAGCTCCAACTTCCATTACAAATAATAGGTCCCGAAGCTTCTGCTTTTGATAGAAAAGGTGGTGGACCTTACACAGGTATTGCAGATGGCAGAATAGTCAAATATCAAGGTCCAAAAGCTGGCTTCACTGATTTTGCTGTTACATCACCAAATAGGTAAAATTTTCACATTAAAAAAGAGTTAACTCCCCCTTCGTCTATTTCCATACTCAAAGTTCAATATTCTTTTGTTTTCCCTATACTGTTCCTCTTCAGGACCAAGGCAAAATGTGATGGAAAAAATGGCCCAGAATTACAACAAATATGTGGAAGACCATTTGGCCTTGGATTTTACTACAAAACTGGTGATCTCTACATAACTGATGCATTTTATGGACTCGTGGTGATTGGACCAAACGGAGGGCTTGTTACACGTGTTCCTAGCTTTCAGGGAAGGAATTTTGCTTTTCTCGATGCACTAGATATCGACCAAAGTAAAGGAGCAGTTTATTTTGTAGATTCTGGAGCTATATTCCTGACTGGGTTAGTTGCTCAAAAACTTATATTATGTCCAATTTAATTTTTCTAATAGTACATTGAATATTCTTAAGAAAGAGGGGACACTAACTCAAGCAAAATAACTTGAAAACTTTTGGCAGCAACAGGACTAGAGTAGCTGAAAGCGGAGATACATCAGGGAGATTGTTCAAGTATGATATAGGAACAAAACAGGTCACATTATTGCTAAGTGGACTGTCAGGGCCAATTGGGGTGGCACTCAGCAAAGATAATTCATATGTTTTGATCACAGAATATATTACTCAAAGAATTCAGAGGTTTTGGCTCAAAGGCGCAAAAGCAAATTCATCAGATGTTTTCGCAAATGTTGATGGAATTCCAGATAACATTAAGAGGACTGTGTTGGGGGACTTTTGGGTGGCTATTTCCAACACGAAACAACCTACTACATTTTCACTAGGACAAAGGATCAATCGATTCGGAAGGGTCGTGGAAACATGTAATTTCACAGATCAATATAAGAGTCCTAATGGGATAACTGAAGTTCAAGAATATAAAGGAAAGCTTTATGTTGGGTCTTTAGACCAGAACTTCGTTGGTGTTTCTAGAGTTTGATGTCTTCTATCTTTCAAGAATAAGCTTTATGATATAAAGCATTTACTATCTACACTTAAAAAAGGCTGTAGACCTTACTTACAGCATAACAATTGTATTACCTGGACACTAATCTTGAACTTACAAATGAAATTGTGGACTATTCAAACTAAGCATTTTCATGGAATGTCAATTCCCAGTTAGTTGATTTACACAGAATTTTAATTTATCAATTACCCAAAGCACTTTGGATATTTTTAGCCGCCTATTGGGATACGAACCACACTTGGTAGCAGGTCTAGTTTCAATCATCCACAGGGATCTGTGACTTGTTTTACCATTACAATTGGACTACTGATCATCCAGAGTTGTTTTGGATGGTAAGTGGTTTTTGAAGTAACATCTTTGCTTGTACTATTATTTTACCTAACTCTGTGCAAATTTCCACCATCTCTAGAACCTATGAACTTAGCTTTCCCTACCCTCACTCCCTCTTTTTAATAGAGCAAAGAAAAGGAAAAAGAACAGGTGGAGGCTTGATATGGTTTATAGTCAAACAGGTCCTTCCGAATAATAGTTATTCCTCCCTTTGTTCTAATTGCAAGGTTTATTTTCATTTATTTTCCTTCTTTTTGAACCGTTACTCTTTACATGAAATATCATATGCTTCCTCTTTAAGAAAGAAAAATGCAACGGCAATAATGGCCTTAATACACAAACCAATATGTGGAGGACCCTGATCCTTCAGTTTCACTACCTAATTAGTGACCTATACCTGGATGATATCAGTCATGGCCTCAAGGTTGTTCTTGACAGATGAACTACCCGAAGATAGGCAGTGCCTTTTGCCTATTGTGGCTTACTATACTTCAATAATGATGCCAGCGTTATTTACTTAATAATTTCAGGAGCCATTACGCTCCAGGTTCGACAATCTCATATTCCATCTTCATCTTTCTAATGATTATAAAAGTAAAGGGATTAACTTAATATGCTTAGCAGTAGAATAACTGTGCAACAGAAAACTGCTTGCTGAAATAGGGCCTGAATCATTTTACAGGCAGCTCAGAAATACAGGCAAAGGCACAGGGAGCAATTGATACTGCAGAAGATCAAATGCGCATGAACAAGCAATGTTGGCTACATCACTGTAGTTGTTTATATGATCTTGGTGGTTAATAACCAATGAAAACATATGGAATATTAGCATCTGTTCAGACACTCATAAAATTAAGAGGTTTTAACTATTTATTTTTCCACACTAATCATTAATCATGTCCTAGTAAACTGCTTACTGTTATCTCTCACATTTTAGGCATTTCAAAACGAAGAAATATATCACATCAAAAACTTCTTACATGACTAGGAATCTACAGGAGCACTTCTTTACAGCACTAGAGAATTAAGCCACCGATTAGTCGCGAAGAGTCTTTATATCATCCACAAGTTCTTGAAGTTCCTCCATTGTCACACTCAGGAGGCCTACAAGATGAAATGCAAGATTTAGCACGCAAATATATCAAGTGCATTGTCAGACAATTAAATTGAGTTTGCCAGAATGCTGACCTTTATCGTTATTCATTCTATACAGTTCACCATTTGAAATGCGACTTTTCTTTGCTCTTGGGTGCTCAGTATTATCCATCATTTTGGTTGTCAATGTCTCCAATTTGGTATGAAAATCTGATGCAGTCCGTACTAATTCTGGAAGAAACAGCCAATTAAGGGCACCATATTCAATAACTTTTCAATGAATGTACTGGAATTATATCATTAAGCACAAAACCTTGCAAAAGGAAAGTTTCAAAGAGATCTTCCCTATTAAAGATTTCTCAATATGGAATGTAATCACCAGTTCAAATCCATAAAGGAGTTACATAATGAGCTGAAGTAGGAAAAGTTTAGAAGCAGAAGCTAGATTAAGTCGATTCTACTCTCAAATTTAAGAGATGTTAGATGATCAGCACATTATTCATTAACACACAGAGAATTCCCACACCTATTTTTCTCACAAGCTACAACCACACCATACACAAAGGCAATCTTCTATGTAGTCTAAGATGACATGTCTAATTTCTGCTCTTTTTCTATCTTCTTTCCTTCTTTTCTGCTTTTCTGTTGCCAGGTTATAGAAGCTAAGTCAAGGTGCAGAACCACAAAAATCGATCACACACATGACTCAGTGCAGAAACTGAATTTACCATACTTGGCTGGACCTCCTTAGGAAGAGCAAGGAAGCGATTAATAACAAGGTGTCAAAATACCAAGTCATTCAAGGTCTTGACAAAGGAAGAACAGTAACCTATATTAATTAGTGAAGAGGAAAAAAAACAAAAATGCATAGATTATAGTCAATATCAAAGGAAGGTATAGTTCATATAAAAATCCGGATCATTTGCAGTAACATGTATCTGTTGTTCGCCCAGCTGCTGAAGGTTATGACCCAAATTATGAAAGAGGGAATATCTAGTCATAAATACAACATAAATGTTGTTTTCACTTTTCAGTAATAAAGACTTGTATCTAAGGAAAGGTAACCAGACTGTGCTTCTCTGTTTCCCAAAACGATGTTTCATGATTCTCAAGTCAAGAAGCATTTCCAGAGTTGAGCGAATAATTTACCTTCAAACTTCTCATTCACTGACTGTTGCTGATACAACTCTAATGCTTCAGTAAGAGAGGTAGCAGAGCGACCACTTAACATGGACTGCCTTTCCAGTGCTTGTAGTTCTCTGTTAAGCTCAGCAGACTCTTTCCCCACCTGCATAGATCATAAATTGCAAAGGAATAAAATTATAAATTTATATAGAAATGAGGCATCTACTAATTTTCTGAGGACTGCCTACCTGAGAAAGTTTGTTCCTTAAGAAATCCAACTTTGAGTCTATTTCCGGATTCTCAATACCATTAGTATCAAGTGAAGAGCCGCTGGATGGTCCATCCTAGATAAACATCCCAAAAGTAATATTAATTCATAGAGATGAGTAATTACTGTCTACTAACAATCAGCAAATAACGAATCAGCTTTTACCAAATAACAATTAAAGAATAAAATGCATGAAGCATGGTCACCAAGATTGAGATTTCATTCCATTCAGGCATTCTTCTCATCTAAAGAGCTCCATTTAGTCCCAATCAGACGAATTACCAATAGTAATTGATACTTATATTCCTTCCACTTTCCAATAATTGTATATGGATTCAACTGCAGGTTGCAATAGATGATAGTTGCCTTTCCAATTGTGCACCTTCAGTATAATGTGCACTGGGAAGTGGGAAGCACGTTCTTCAACCCACGTCCATATGAACAACTTGCATGAATCTTCTCCGCTCCTACTTTTTATCCTTTTACTATTTTCTACATATAAATTTGGCTACAAAATTGAACCAAGCTGAATGTAATGACTCTCCTGGTCATTTCTGTGGTTTGCCTTTTATGTGTCGCTTAGAGCGTTCATGTAGCAACCCCAAGTCATTTATGACTTGCTGGGACTGACAGTTCAGTCATCTGGTCGTTCGTTTGGTTATTGTGCGAGTTTTTGTGTTTTTGGAGCTTATGAACCTTGAACGATCATTTTCGATCAAAAATTCAAGAAGATGACATCTGAATCCAATTTTGACGATTCCATCAGCTCCGAAAGGGTCATTTCTAGGCTAGTAGCATGGTCGGCATGGCTCCCGAGGTTTTCAGTGTGAGTCGGTGCGATTAGGCGTTTTAACTTTAAGTTTAAACCTAAATTTAACTTTAGTCAACATTCTAAGTAAACGCACTCAGATGAGAATTCCATTAGTGCGGTTAACTCCGGAATGTCGAGTTTGGTCTAGATTGACCCTTCGTTCACGTCCCGAGGTTTCCGATATTTTTTCGAGCCCTTTTGTGGTTTTTGATTTAAAATGGCGGTTGGGTGTGGGACCCACTTTTTGTCAAGATGACCTCGTATGGAAATTTTGATTGTGTCATTGAGTCCGGAATATCAAATTTGGTATGGTTGCATATCTCATCTGCGTGCATGGGGTTCCGAACTAGTTCGGAGCACCCCGTCAGAGTTTTTAAGTTTTCGAAAAATAGGCTGAAATCTGGTGTATTTAGTGCAGAAAATCAGCACCCTTTTCCAAACTTAAAAATCTAATATCTCCCTCATCAGTCATCTCTCAACCGAATTAGGCGATTCGAAGTGTGGGAGCTTCATATTTTTGGTGGCTTCGCTGTAGAGTGTTCGGAAGTTGTTGGGTGCACGTCGTTCGAGATAAATTTGATTATAAACCTGACTGTTAGGCCCTTTTTCGAGATTTTGTTTTTGGCCTCCTTGTTTTGGTCATATCTCACTCATTTTAGCTCGGTTTTGGGTGATTCGAAGTCCCACGTGTTGGGAATTATCGTGGCTACGTCGTGGAGTGTTCAAGGAGTGTTGGGCACCATTCGATTCTTGTAAATTCCGAGTTTAGACTGCTGCATGTTTTCTTTTAAGTTGATTAAAGTGTGGTTTTCTTGCATGTTGGGTTTTGCGGCGTTTTGAGCCTCGAATTGTGTTCCATTTTGGAACACAAGTTTGGGGTACTGTTTTGAGTCTCTTGACAGAGTCAAATCCAGACAGTTCGGTGCGGTCCCACGATTCCCGTTTTGACTCCAAAATTGACCCGTCTCCGTTTGTTGTGATTTTGGTGTCTAAACGACCATACTAACGTTGTGATCATATATTTGATAGAGTGACCGCATTCAAAGGTCGTTCGGGAAGGAAAAGCTCTGGCAAAGTGATTTGGAGCACGCGCGATCGGCCTTAAGGTAGGCTACGGCTTCCTTTCTATTAGATTGAGCTTAATTATGTAAAAACATGTCAATTGGAGTGAATTGGGGGGGGGGGGGGTACTAGTTTCCTACTTTACTTTGATTAGATACCTTATGTTAGGATCGATTGGCCATATTTCGGGTGTAGTACCATGTTAACCGATTTAGTAGAGTTCTATACTTATGTGCTAAATGCTATTGTATGTTTGTATGCTATGTGTTGTATGCTTTGTTCATCCTTAACCGTAAGCATGATGTCCTTAGTCTAGGTTAGGCTAGCATTGCCCTAGACTTATGACTCGTGTGGGATGGATAGCCTTGACTTTCTGCCGGCGTCGTTCGGATGACTTAGCTCCTTGTAGACTTGAGTCTGATAGTTTGAGCCTTAGATTAGGCGTTATCGCTGCTTGCTGCACTTCTGTATCTTCTCCCTCTAATTCTGCAGTTCCAACATGTTCTCGAAGGTTCAGTGCATCACTAAAGGCGTGGGATTGAGATAGTATAGGCTTGGATCTTTTTCTGTGATTTCTTAGAGTGGACGATATTCCACAATGGTTGTTGTTGGATTGGATCCTATTAGAGATACCATCACCCCGAAGTCGTTCTTTCTAGCTGGGCTGGGAGCGTATCACTGGCTGGGTATACTCGGTGATTTTGGCGATCGCCCCCGGGCCTCTCTTTCTAGCTGGGCTAGGATTGTGCTACTGGTTGGGTGTCCCCGGGTCGCTCTTTCTAACTGGGCTGGGAGTTGACTGCATGGTAGGACAATCGCGCTATCTACCTCACCCACGGGTCCCTCTTTCCAGCTGGGCAGGGAGTGGACTGTTTAGTTGGGTGTCCCCTGGGGTACTCTTTCTAGCTGGGCTGGGAATGCACTGCTGACTGGGTGGAGTCTAATGGATTATCTTGGTTACTTTAGACTGGGTGCCCGATTTTTTTCTTTCTCAATAGACTTAGCTATTTTGTGTACCTGTCGAGCTTATAGGGGTTCATTAAGGTTTTATTTAACTTTGCGCACGAGTGTACCTTCTGGGCTTATGGGGTCTAGTTAGATTTAGTTGAGTTGTACTTAGTTTATTTCTGGTATGGTCGTGTGCTTCATATCTGCTTTGACCTCTCTGTGTCTAGATTCTATCATTTCTTAGTGTTTTTACCCCTTTTGCTCAGTCGGCCTTTAATGCCTACTGAGTACCTTTTGTTTTGGTACTCATGCTACGCTTTGCATCTATTTCGTGATGCAGGTCCCAATACCAGTTACCAGCGGTGATTAGCTTCAGCCTTCTTTTGCAACTGTGATTAGGAGACGAGGGTGAGTACTTGGCGTTTTGGGTTTGTCTTGTCTCCTTCTTTTGTTTTAGCTAGTTTTGTTGCCTTTGAGACATGCTTTGTTGTGGTCCACTTTTGGGACTTGTACTCTTTATTAGATAACTCTGTACTAGTGACTTCCAGGTTCTGGGAGGAATTTCTGTATATATTTATTTTGAGTTGCTTCCACCTTGTTGTCCTTGTTTAGATTATTGTTTTTGCTAGTTTCTGCCCTTACACTTATTACTTGATGTTCTGGGTTACGGGTTGGCTTACCTACTGGTAGGGTATAGTAGGTGCCATCATGACTCGAGAAATCGGGTCGTGACACTGAGTCACAGTGTTCCCTACCTGTTTGGCATCACAGAAAGACTCTAACCATCTGGGTTACCAGGTTCTCCTATTTCCCAGGGAGTGGAAACGGTCAAAGAGCCAGTGGTCAATCATCTCATAGAAACAGTTTTCTTTTGTTCTCAGACTCCATATCTGAACTTGAGATGTGCTATTGAAACAAAATTTGGCAGAATAATTAAACAAATCACCTCCAAAATTTACTTGATCTCCTTGTAGGAAAACAGTAATTATGAAAGTCTGGTTTCTTGTATATTGAGTTATGACAAAAGAAAAAGTTACCATTGCAATCAGATCTACAGCATGACAATTGATGCATATATTAAAGATCCAATGGTAAATTGTTTTGATGCTTCAAATAACTTGTTTTAGATGTAAAATCTATGTAGACTATAAATATGTCTTAAACCAAAGGATGACATATAAATAAAGGACATTATAAAATTTACCAAGTGACAGATTGGATTTCCAATATGCAGAAAATGAAACTATACATTTCAATATGAGACAAATGACAACCGAGGTAAAGAAAAAAACACAGGATATCCATAATAGAGAACGTACAGCTTTGGGCAAAGAGAACCCTTGTGGAACCGTAAAACAATGGTGCAAAGAGTACTTCTCCCACATGCTCAACCGCTTATCCAGAGCCAACTGGATTATGTTCTTAATGTTAGTCACACCCTACAAATGAACTTTTTGCCTGTCAGTGGCCTGAGCTGCTTAAACTTAACAAAATAATAATCTCAGTCTCAATTTATGTGCACAGTTGAAATTTTGATATTCAAACTTCTAAACTTAAAAACTACCTAAAAATATTATAAATCACAATAATTAACTTTAAAATCTAAAGAAATTCCGGTCAGAAGAAAAACTTGCATGACTTTCAAATTACAACTATGCCATAAATTGGGAGTGAGGGAGTAAGGCACTAAGGACGCACTTGCGTAAAAAAGTATGAACACCAACCTTCTTCAGATCTTCGGATCGATCTGTGCCCTCGGTCTTCAGAAGCTTTGCTGCCTCTCTACAACAGAGCACCATAAGGTAAAATAAACGGCACAAGAGTTGAAACAAATAAGGAATTCGACCGAAGATTACTTGAAAATGAAGACTGGAGAAGGAACTACTTACTGGTGGAAGAAATCGAAAGCATCGTCGACTAAATCGTCGACACAATTGAGTGCCTCGTTGATGAAGAGTTGGGGATTTAGGTTCAATGAATCGAACACCTTCTCGCTCTCGCTGCCTTCCATTTCCAAGCTTCCCAAATTCAATTTCCTCAAGGGTTTGGTGCTTCTGCAATTTCAAATTTCTGATTCCAAAGCCTTTTTGTTCTTTTGCAATGCCCCTCTTCAGTTTCCCGCCAGGTGAGATTGGGCATTTTCTTTTCTCCTTTAATAATAATCCCAAATAGGCAGTAAAACTTTATTGGCCTGCTATTTAAGCTTTATTTTGGTTTTAAAAATATTTCAACTTAATATAGTTTACTAATTGTATTTATTTTGTTTTAATTTAGTTTTCTAATTGTGTTATATTGTTATTGTCTTTTTGGAATTACATTTCATGTGAAGTCCGTCGTGGAAAGTGGAGACAACATATATATATATATATATATATATATATATTATTCATTTTCAGCGCACAAGTATCCGCATTAAAATTCGATTAATATAAATTCACATCATGTTATCGAAAAAATATTTTCTACTAAAAAAAAATTCATATCGGGGACATAAATATTTGCTCCACTTGGTTAACAGTATCTCATTTTTTTGTAATAAAAAACAAAGAAACAACATAATTTTTCTCCATTTTTAATAATTCAAAAGTATATTAATTCCCCTTGATTAATTATTTAGAAAAATTGTGCCAAAAGAATAAATAATTATTCTATTTTCAAAAGTTCAGCAATATTTTATACCCTTTCCCCTAACAACAAAAATACAAATGTTTGGTACCCTCGTGTACTTTTTTTCTTCATTTTTAACATTTATTATTGAACTAAACTATATAACAAATCAAACGAGACACTATTACTTCTTATTTTTTTGTAGAATAAGAAATTTTTTATATTTTGGGCTAGTTCTTTTAGACTAGGCCTATTTTTATTTTTATTCTAGTTTGGTCCGATGATATGGGCCATGGCTTTGTATTTATCTCTTTATTGAATGAATAAAATGGCCACTGGCCAAAAAAAAAATAAAAAAATCTCATAATGAGTAACTTATTGGTATTTATGTTCAGGTCCTTAATTATTCCCAAAAATGTCAAAATGATCTAATAAGTTGCTGATATTTTCATCTAACCCGATAATCCGGAAACTGGTAATGTTTGTGCAACGAATTCGAGGGCTCTTCACGATGACGAAGAAGAGTCCTTGTTCCATTCAAGCTTTATTCGACCTTTGTAAGCAGACTTTTGCGCCTTCTGCAACTTCATCACCTTCTTCTCAAGCTATCCACAAGCTTTATTCGCTTTTGGGTACTTATCTTTTACCCTTTTGCTTAAGAAACCGGTTCCTTTCTATCTCAATGTTTAACATTTTCATTTAGTGTAATAATTCTTGTTTAATGCGACAATTGTGAGCTCCGGAACTGTTTTTATTAAGGAAATTGAGGAAGCGAAGCTATTTAAGCTCATAATATTGATGTTAGATGTGGATTATGATGAATGAAGTCGATTAAGGGGTGGGGGTTGGTGCAAGGCATAGCTGCCAAACCCCTTGAAAGAGTGATCAGATTATGAGAATGTAGGAAAAAACTGCTAAGAAAGGAAGTTGATTTACAAAATGTTGTATGAGTGGCAATAGTTAACATAGAGAAATTTGCATTTTTTTTCACTATTATGGTAATCGAATACTTATTTTGCTGTTTCTATCACATACAAACGTGCAAAGTGTGCAAGAAAGTAATGGGGATTGTTATACGTATTTAAAATTGAAGTTCAGGAAAGGTACTGTTTATGGTATCATAGACTGTGTATTACAAGAGGTTTAACTTTTTTTTCTAGATACAATTGGTCCTGAAGATGTTGGACTGAAAGATGGAAGCCTGGAGGATGAAAGAGGTCATGGTCTTTTTGGACTCAATGTCTTCAACAGGGTGGATCGCTGGGCTCAACCGATAACATACGTGGATATACACGAGGGTCAAAACTTTACTGTAAGATATTGTTCTTATTTAGCTGCATTGCATGTGTATTTGTCAAATGCATTTACATGGTCTCTCATTGTATTGTTATTTGAATGATTTATCCTCGTGTCAACACAGCCTTTAATAATGTACTACTTAAGGACAAAACATGATATCCTCACTATTTGTATGTTAACAGTGAGATTTTTTTTGGATCGCCACCATCGAACCTTTTGAAAAAAAAAACATACAAATTTAATTGGACGCATGCAAGGACATTCTAAAATACACCGACTTTAAAGCCTGAATGAACAGGTCTACTTTTATGGTTAAAAAATAATTCTTCAAGTTATATTGTAGGAAAATTTCGATGTCAGACGTAAGACGTTTATCGACATCATGCCTTCGTTGCTTTATCTCTAGCAGTATCAAATGTGTGGTTTTTCATTAGATGAGTATTTCAAGCTTATGTAATATCTACGACAAACTCAATTGGAAATGATGTATGCAGATGTGTATGTTTTGTTTCCCAACTTCTGCTGTCATTCCATTGCATGATCATCCTGGAATGACTGTTTTGAGTAAAGTCCTCTATGGATCCTTGCACGTAAAAGCTTATGATTGGGTTGAGCCAGCTTGCATCAGGAAAAGTGAACGTGTTGGTCATCCTACAGGTTAGTCTTAAACGAACTTCAAATGTTTTAAGGGCTTCTAAAATCCTCTCTAGGTATGACGAGGAGCCAAAGAAATAAAGCATTTACATTCTTTTCATTAGAGTACTCACGAAGTGAACTTCAAAGAATCTAAATTTTTGTGGGTGTGGATGATAAAGTGGCCAGAAGTCACTTCATTGACTTGATATCACGACCATTAGTTATATATAGAAACTTTTCCAGGCAAAGCAGACAAAACTATTAACATGGAAGTTTAATATATTTCCTTAGATCATCTTGCCACCGAGGCTCCGCAATATGTTAGCGAACTTTTAGATCCAGCAAAGTTTCTATATGGTCCAGAAATTGTATGGTAAAGAATTTGAGAACTACAGATGTTCAAATAGCACAGGATTTGCATTCATAGCAATTCAGGATATTTTTTTTGATAATAAAGCAATTCAGGATTTTTTTTTTGATAATAAAGCAATTCAGGATATGCTCAAGTCTTTCTTTTAGCTTCACCAATTTGTATGGCACTTATATTTGACGGTCTTGTCAACTCGACCATGTCCATTATGGTCCCTCTTCTGTGGCTGTTATGTGTTCAGTGGACTTGAAATTTGTTAGGTACCATGTAGTTACTTAGATGTCCTCATTTCTTTCAAATAGCATCATGATAAGAGATCACCCTTTTACTTAACTACAAATTTTTCTTTTATAAGGTTCTTAATGAGGAAATTTCTTGCACTTTAGAGTTATTTTTGAAATTTTATAATTTAAACTTCATGATAGAAGTTGTAAGAGGATGGTATATGACTACAACACTTGTCTAGCAAAGTACTATTACTATAGACACTTGGCAAGTGGAAAGTGGAGGTAGCTGAAGTTGATGGTGTAGTGAACTTTATCCAATATGCCAAATGATCCTCATTATTAACGTGGAAAACACTTCTTATATTCAGATATGTAAGATGTTTTAATCTGGATCTGAAAATACTCTTGTCATGTGGGCTCAATTATTTGAGAAAAGAGTGTTTTACTGTCCTAGGCCACTGACGTTTTCTTTTTTGTTTTTATTTAACTTCATTTGAACAACTTTCCTGGTGAAACCCTTCGGTCACTGTTGAAACTGAAAAGGGAATGTTGTGAATTGACCACCTTACTTGTTTGGAAAATTGATACTTCTATGATTCTTGTTTGAACTTGCAGATTTTGCATATTTGTCTAGCACACACTTGGATCCAGCAACACCTTATTGACCAAATAGTAGCAGACAAACTTACCGATCCCTTTTGTCTATAGTTCTTTCGATTGCATCATTGTCTTTAGAGCGATAACTCCTTGTATATGAATGGCCGAATCCCTCCATCGTGGCCCACTTTCCTTTTGGCTAGAATTCATACCCACTACTCCTCTCTCTCTCTGTCTCTCTCTCTCTCAAATGACAGATCTGTTCTGCTCCCATCCATCGTTATTTGATACACAGCATAACCATTCTTAGTTGTTGAGGCAGCTGCCTGTACATTCTCTGCTTTTGAAATATATGTCTTTCTCATTCTTTTTACCCACTAATTATGCCATGCTGATTGTCAGAAAACACATCTCTCTTGGCGGAACTCTCATCACTACCATCACCGCATGCAGTGATATCTTCAGTGCCATAACTTCTTCCCTCTTCAATAGTTACCATGATAAATTCTTGATCCCAAGTATATCCACAAAACTCATCTTCAATTGCTGGAGGTGTAAAAGTTTTGCAATTTAGAGGATAGTACTGAAGATTTGATGTACTAAATGTCAACCTGGATTAATAACTGAAATTCTTAATTTCTTATTTTTTGAGGATTGGCGCTTTTATTATGAATCACCTTCAGATTTCTATGGATGAAATTTAGGTTGCAGCTTGTTGACTTTGGTAAGCAAGAGAGATACATTCTTCTAACATGACAGAACTATCTTGCATTATGATTTATAGTAGAGCTTGCGTTTTTGGAGAATCCTGTATTTCAGCATTATGAGTTCATGTAAGTTGGGGTTTATTTCGTTTTTGGTAAAAAATATCAGTGTTTTGCTGTTTGCTATTCTTCATTTCATCATATTTATATTGATCATGTTTAACATATCTACAAGTGATGGTTGAAAAATTTCTGGTTCCAGTTTTCTTGTTTCGGCAACACTTGTTTAGCAAGCCCACTCATTAGCTCAATTATTTTTTGCAATCTATCTGCTAGTGCTTGATCCATTTCATTTGGAGTCTGTCAAGCTTGAGTCCAGTAGTTTTGAGCTGAGCTGGACTGAGCCCCGTTGAGATTCTACTTTCTTCACCTTGTGCACTATAGCAGTTTACTGTTTTGTCCTAGTTGTTGGTGCTTTCCTCAGTATATTTTTACTTCAAAAAAATCTTTGTTGACGTATATTCTTTCACTGATTAAGAGGTATGCTCTTAAATGTTTGCACTTCATGTACAATCCTCGTCAAAATTGATATCCACCAGCACTGTGTTAAACACTGAATCATAGCACTCGACATGCATTTGCATATCCTTTTGGTATTGCTAATTCAAAGTGAAATAGTATCTCTGAAATTTTCTTCTGGGTATTATC